ATATGAGTTGGAACCGACTTGACGGCACCTAACAACAACATATATATATATATATATACACATATGAAATTTGAATGTATGTGTGTATGTGCGCATATGGTTATCTATATCTGGCCCTTCCCAAAAAGGATTTGAGGTGGCACTTTAATTTTCACAATAACTTTTTTTAATCAAGAAATAATACATTTTCACTGTAGAATATATGTTCAAAAATGGGACCATCCCTCTCTCTCTATACAATTTTATGACCTGCTTTTTCAACCCTAGTGCCGCAATCATCCACGGACCCTCGGCCACTCTCCATTGTTCCTTGATGATTTTCTCTTCCTTTGCTCACAGGCACGCTCTGCACTAAACCAGTTGCCGCTGAGTCGGCTCTGACCCATTTCAACCCCAAATGTGTCAGAGTAGAACCACGCTCCACAGGGTTTTCAGTGGCTGATTTTTCAAAAGTAGATCACCAGGCCTTTATTCGGAGAAGCCCCTGGATGGACTTGAACCACTAACCTTTGGTTAGCAGCCGAGCAAGTTAACCATTTGCAGCACCCAGGGACTCCCTGGGTGAACCAGGGACACTCAGGGAGAACCACTACCTCTTTCATAATTCCGACACACACGTAGATGATATTCCACCAGCCTGGCTGCTCAGGTTCTTGAACTCTCTTCTACCCTACCTCAGCCATTCGCTCCTTAGACTTTTTTTTTTAAGACCTATCATTTCAGCCCTCCATAGTCTCAATTATATGTATCCTACTCTTCGGCCACCTTCTCCTATCCTTCCACCTCACTCCCTCTGTATCTCAACCCTACCAATTCTTCCATTCCCCTCAATCTCTAATCCATTGATCCTACCACCTTTTCACTGCTTCTCAACTCCTTGATGTTCTCTTTTCCTTCCTTGTGCATAGTCAGTCATTAGATTAGGCCCTACATTTACCCTCAATTCCCTTGCCCAGATGACTCATCTTACTTGTTTGGCAAAGCCCCAACCCTGGTCAGATATTACTCTGCTTACTTTGTACATGCATCCATGTAGCTGAATGACTGGTCCCATTTAAGTTCTTCACCTCAAGTGAAGTGGACACCGAATGGACTTCTCTAGTCCTGTCACTCTCCCACTCTCCAAGGTGGCTTCATATCACCATCTCCCTCTTCAAACCTCTAACACCTCCTCCCCAATCCTCATTCTGGGTATTTCTTCTCAGCCCTTTTGCTGGCTCTGCCCCTTCTCCTGACCTCTTAATGTTTCAGTGCCCCTAGCACCCAGACCTCTGCCCCATCTACACTCACTCCCTGGGTGATCTCATCCAGTCTCAAGGCTTTGAACACTATCTATGGTTGATGATTACTGGATTTATATCTCCTGCCCATACATCTCTCTTGAGTTCCAGACTTGTATATTCAACTGCCTTTTGGACTTCTCCACTTGTCTGTCTAATCCAGTTTCTCAGCCTTGGCAGTATTAACATTTTGGGCTGGATAGTTCTTTTGGGGGCATTTTGTTTTGTGCATTATAGGATATTTAGCAGCATCCCTGGCCTTCATCAACTAGATGCCAGTAGCACTCACCCCCGTCCCCCACCAAGTTGTAACAAACAAAAATGTCTCCAGACATTGCCAAATGCCCCTGAGGGTCAAAAGTGGTCCCTGTTGAGAACCACTGGGACCCTCACAATGTGGGTTTGACCTGCGTGGTTTTTCTCAGAGTTGACAGGTCTGTGGTGAACTGGCTTCATCCTTGACCTCGTCTCGTACTACTCCCTCTTCTTTCTTCCTGCCCCAGTGGCCTTCTTGCTGCTTATTGAACACGTCACTCACTCCCACCTTAGGGTCTTTGCACTGGAACTTCCTTCTTCTGAAGTACTTTTATCCCAAATATCTTCATGGTGCACACCATCTCCTTCTTCAAGGCTTTGTTCAAGTTTCACCTCAATGAGCCCCATTTACAATTACCACCCGTAATCCTGATCTTCCCTACCCTCTTATTTTTTTTTCCTTAGCACTTATAGCCATTAAATATACTATACAATTTACTTTTACTTCGCATTTGTTATTTGTTGTCTGTCTCCCCCCATGAGAAAGAAGCTTCATGAAGAGATGCATTTTTATCTGTTTTGTTCACTGTTATGTCTCTGCATCTAAAACATCCCCTGGCAATGAATATTTGTGGAATGAGTGAATGAATGAACGATTACTCAAGTGTCTGAAATCAGGCTGGGGCTTACTGTTTCCTTGTAAGTGTGATTACCTTTGTGTGTTGCTCATTGCTCTTGAAAAAATACTTCTGTGAATTCCTCAAGGCCTAAGATGACAATGTGTTCCTCCAGAGAAGATTTGCTTTTGGTTCTGCTAATATTTAGGAGAACTACCAGTCTGGTACCACTTTACATGTGCTGTTAACATATTTGTGGGTTAACCCAGTGATGTGAATTTGGACTGGAAACCATGAAAGGGAGCAGCCTATGGTTACAATCTCTTGGGGATGAGTTTCTTTACCC